TATACCGCTCGAATTGAGAATATCCTCCTTTTGAAGTAGGTTTAAAATTATTATATCTTTCAATTGTTTAATACCAATATTGACACCAATATTTAAAGTGATTGATTAGTAGGCACAAAGTCTTACTCTAATAATAGCTCTAAATTTGGGTCATGAGCCTGTCGTTTTAAGCCTCGCGTATAGTATAAAAGAACGATTCTTGCGCATAATAAAATATGAAAGTTAATTACTGTGATAGGGCCACACAACAGCTCGCCGTTCGCAGTTCCATCCGGGTAAGTACCACCCATTCACAGAAAACCGGCGCGGAAGTATCTTTCACAAAGATTACACATCTTAATTTTTTTAATTCACATTGAGCATAAATATGGTCCTAAAATATGGTTATTATATTATTTAAACACTTACCAATGGCAGTTGATTATCTAGTCACGATAATCCATTATGAGCTTAATGAGATAACGTTTGTTAACTAAAATAAGTATTTCCTAAAGGCAGAAGAAGGCCTAGAATATTTTAAATTCCAATTTTCCGATTCGAACGTCAACCACATGAATGAATATATATATGAGAAGATGGTAGGCTGGCAGTTCTCCTGATGTTAAATGATAACCGTCGCCCATTGACATTTGCAAAACCCGTAGTGTTGCAGATGCGTTAAAATTATTTACCTATGTATTTATTGTTACGGATTGAATACTCCATGAGTGTGACAAATATCAAATTTTCTTTTATATTATAAAGAACCCTCAAACAGGAACTAGTTTTTCCCGTTAGAGGCTGTAGTAAATTATAGAATCTAAATAGTTTCGTTGCAGTATCATAATGTGTAAAAATACGGTGTAAGACATAAAAATAAAGTAAAAAATATACCCAGACTTGAAATACCGAGGTATTATTGGACCATACAACTTAACCTTAGAGATATACACGTGCAGCAAAATGTAAATTCTACTGTATGCATATATTTTTATTACAAAGTAGTTGGATAAAGTGTATTTTAAGAAATCTTAGGGAAAAAAATTAAAAACCACATCAAATTGTTCATGTGTGGTTTATGTAAATTCAATCCAAGAATATTAATTATATATCTTTATATTTAACATAAACATAAACGTAAAAGCAAATTGATATGCAAATCCATCCGAATGCATTTCAACGCAAAATGTGTAATACTATTATAGAACCAGTTTTTATTGGTTCATAAGTATGAGCCTTTAAACTGGTAAAATAATTAAAATTATACGATTTTAAAGAATAAACCTCGTGGTATAACAATAAAGTGAGTTCATGTAGCGATTTAATCTAAAAAGCAAAAAAATTTATAACTCTGCTTGATATTTTTGAAACTAACGTTTTTTATAATATGATAGATCTAATCCTTACTTCCTTATCCTTACTAATATTATAAAGGTGAAAGTTTGTATGTATGGATGGATGTTTGTTACTCTTTTACGCAAATACAACTGAATGGATTTTAATGAAACTAAATAAAATAAATAAATAAATAATATTATAGCTACATCAGAATAACTATGTGTTATTCTGAGGCTATAAATTATATATATATATAATTTATGAATATCTGTCTTTCTTTCTGAATGTTACGCCTTCAGCTTATACTACGCAGACGTAGTCGCGGGCAGCAGCTAGTAAAAAATACCTCAATCTCTTCATGTCTAAATAGATTCTCGCTTTAATTGTTTCTCGAAGCTCCTTTCGACTTAGACCTACTATTTATTACCTTTATAATATTTTAGTACATATCACTTCACAAATAACCATCACGGACAAAATCCTGCTAAAGGCCCTAGATCGTCGAGATGCAGACCAGATTACATTTGTTTAAACTATTCGTACCATTCGTATGTTGGTGATCTTCAGGCATATGTGCTGGCCGATATAGACGACCTTCATGATGCGATACTAAAATTAAAAGAAGACCTAGACAAAGTTTCGAATTGGTCTAGTTCTCATGGAGTTTCGGCCAATCCCTCGAAATGCCAACCTATACTTGTTGGTAGTTCAAGAATGCTGACAAAAATTTATTACTTATTTGTACCTCCTATACAATACAATAATGTAATGATTCCTTTTTCAAATGCGGTAAAACATCTAGATTTGCTTATTGACAATACTTAGATTTGGAGCGTAAATGTTACCGAAATAAGCCCCAAAATTACTGCGACCTTATGATCTCTTCATCATTTAAAACATTTCCTCTTGTCCAAACGCTCATTTTACCCATTATCGATTATGCAGATGTGTGTTACCCGGAGGTATCCCAACATCTACTAAACAAGCGGGGTTGCCTCCTTAACAAATGTATCAGGTATGTTTTCGGCTTAGGCAAGTATGACCTCATATCCTCGTATCGATCTCAACTTAATTGGCTTGTTTTCGGCAAAGGCGGCATTCCAGAATTTTGCTTGTGCTTTTCTTCATTTTAAATGATTGTTCCCTCCATTCTTACCTCATAAACAAATTCTTATATCTCTCTTCATCTCATGATAGAGTACTTCGGCCGTCTTATACGAATAAACTATGCATTCCGGCGCCATTTCACCGGATTCTCTATTAATTCCTTTACTATCCAAGCTATACATCTTTGGAACTTACCCGATATTTAAGCAACGCAAAAAGTAAGACATCTTTCAAAATACTGGTTCGTAAATACTTTTTAAAGACAACTTTGACTTAAGATATAGACTATAAATAAAAGTAGAAGTAAGTTGTTATTTATTAATACAAGTATACATCTTTATATAATCCCAACCACAAATAATAAATTAGCAATTTCAGTATACAGAAAGACCTCTCCACTAGATGGAATGACGATCTGCGCATGTGTGCGGGAAGTCGATGGGTGCAGGTGGTGGTTTTTGGGGGAGTCCTATGTTCAGCAGTAGACTCATACGCGTTAACTAATGATGATGATGAATGTAATCATTTGGCCAAATTGAAGCATTTGAAATGAAAAATATTAAAGCATGTTAGAAGTAACCCAAAACATATAATTTTTTTTTGATAATGTTCATAATACAATATATTTTAAAATAAAACAAAATCATCGTCTTGCCATCATAGCGGAAAATGCCAAAAGCTTCTCAAATTGAAGGAACATTCATGGAAACAAGAGCTCTGCAGATGACATCGTTTAGGGAACCATGGCGGGAAAAGCGGCCAGAACTTTTTTTGAATGGAAAAGCTTTCATCGTCAATTAATATGCAGAAATAATTTGAAGGTAAAACTTCAAGTCCATAACTCAATTTTTATATGAAAAACCTAGATTTAAATTACATTCATTCATGTTTTGAAGAATGAACTTGTGATTTTTTTTATATTATTTGCATCGAAAGCAATCTTGTACTGCGAAATAGCTCCTATAAAAGAACACGGCAGTGCCGCTTTGCCGCGTTACTCTTTAATAATTTAAAAAGTTAATAACATCTTTTTAGCTTTGAGCAGAAACATTCAGCAATCATAGTTATGATTTACGCATAAATGCAACTACAAACACACACACATTATTTTATCTCTATAACTCTCATTTTTTGACTCTAAGATTTACATAATTCTGAGACAAAATCATGAGGATAAGTGTCTAATTAATGTCAAATTAATCTAAGCTTAGACTTTCAAATACTGAAATCGACAAATATTAAAAGAATTATATAGGTTACCTTAAATAAAGCGGAAATAAAATTTTGAATTTTTGAAAAATTTTTTATTGTCTGTAAAAATAAATTGGGATTAATAACGTTATCGTAACCCGGTTGAGTTTCTCCTTTCTTTTCTATGAAATTTTGCTGCAGAATCCTGAAATAAGCAATTCATAAGGTAGACATGTGACAGAATGTATTTAGAGTAAATACCATAGCACTACACAGATTTACTCAGGTTCATCACAAATTAAACGGTGTTTGTTCATTACTTATTTTAGTGTGAGTTGGTACCTTTAATATATATTTCAAGTAAACTTAGCTTCTTGACATTTGTTTTAGCTACCTTCTGAGATTGATTACCTTATTAATATTTAAGTATTTCTTTGGCCTTTGACGCTCCACGCAGTAATGAGTTCTTAGCTTTTGTTTGAATCCCCTGAATATCTTTAGAATTTGAAACAAAACTTTTAAAACAAAATTGCTATTATAATTTATTAAAAAATAACAGTCAAAAAGGAGACTGCGAAGGCAATATACCTAAGAAGGAAAATATAAACAATTAAGCGGCTAATTAATCTACTAAAACATTATCGTCCTCACTTCGATTTCCAATTATACTATCTGCTGAGATTCACCGCCGTGGAATGAATGCATCAAACCGGTCAATACAATTGAAACCACTTTGATAGTCGGCAAGTTCACCATTGCGCGTTTTTCAAAATCACGCACATCCATTTCGTGGAATCAATTTAGGCCAGACAGTAAAAGACCCTATTCCTACCTCATAGGCAGGCAACGCATTTGTTAATCCTCCTGTGGTGCGAGTGCCCCTGGGGGGTGGACTCTGGGCTGACATCATCTACACTAACTAAAACATTATATAGCTATACATTATATACATTACAGTAACATTTTAGTAATTTTTAGCTGGTGACCTAAACAGAGAGAAAATTTTCCTTTTTATATGTCTAACAATAAAAGAAAAATTCTCACTTAATTACGAAGATAACTACGTTGGACATTTTTAATTTAAAAACAGCGTAAGACCTTTGGTAAATAATAGAAATTGTTAAATGAACTATTAAAGTACAGACCACGAATTCACGCTGTAAATATTCGTAGAGTGAAAACCTTAATTTGACCAAGAACACTCAAAATATAGGTACATTTATTAAGTAAATTTTAACAGTTTACAAAAAATAAATATAACATTTCTTTTGAATTGCTGAAAACTAACGTTGTTCATCCGAGTTATTTTATTCTATTGTCATTTAAGCCAATTCCATTTAAGATTGACTAACGGAATTGATGAACCATCAAAATCTCATTTTTTAAACAATTGTGATAATTATTTTACGCCGTTTGATTTTCGTCGCCCACAATTTCTGAAAAAAAAATATAATTGTTAGAGCATCATCTTTAAAAAACCATTACGTGACACCAAATAAATAAAAAAGGCAGTATTTTGCTATTTGGCAATTTAGAGACCGAAAAGCCACTATTATTTAAAGAATAAAAAAATAAAAAACAAAACAAACAGCTTTTAAGTTTAAATTTCTATATATATACAACTGCCGAACTTTTTACTATCACTATACTGTTTATCAAATTTCATGTACTACTGAATATGTTTTTAATTTGTTATGGTACTAAACTTTTTAATGTAATGCAAGAGCGGAACTATCTAAGGCAAGTAAATCTTTGCATATAAGAATGTTCCAAATATCTGTGAAAACATAGTAACAATAATTTAAGTAATTTTTATTAAATTTAAAACAAAAATCAAACGAAAAACATATAATAAAAATTACCATTAAAGATTCTTTGAACTTCGTGGAAATCAAACTGAAGAGTATCGGATTTAATACCAAACTGAAGGAGCTATTTAGTATCATTAGCCGTTGTAATAAACTCCACCACTGAAATTAAGAAGTCAATTAGCTGAATCATTAACCAGTTCGTATACTTTTGAAATCAGCTCTATCATATATGTATAAGATACATTATATACCTTTCATTTTACGAATTGAACTATAAGCGTTTCAAAAGATTACTTTTTACTTGGTAAAATGAACTTTATTTTTTCCTTTTCTTGTTTTATCAAAATTAAGCCAATTGTAAAATGTATTAAGAAGCAGTCGTCATTCTGTATATTTTTATACAGAAGCTGGAAAACAAGCTTTTAATTATGTAAAGTAATTGCCACCGCCAATAGAAAACCAAAAGATAGATACTTATAATATAAAGATAGAATATAAAGATAGATACTAGGATTATTATTACACTTCCAGCGACCGAACCGACATCATCTATGCAACAACAGAAGCATCTGGGGTCTAATTATGATACCGCAATTTGGCCGAGGAACAGAGGTGGTTATAATTAATCTGCTTTAATTTATTTTGTATAAGTATTGAATAAATTGAAAAAAGTAACATAATATAAATGATATTACAAACCTTTACTAAAGCCAACAGCTGGTATATTTCTAGGGCAAAGATCAGGATCCGTATCACAAAATAAGGCAGCCAGCATAAGATGAACGACAACGTCAACGCTACTGACCATTAAAAATTAAGTTAGCATCGCATTTATATTAAGTACAAGCGGAGTCGATAATTCACATGTTTAAAAAAAAAAACGGAGTCAAAAATTTTGATATGCGTGTAACATTCTTAAATACGAATCTGTCCCATCAATATTTAGTTTAGCGCGATACGTGCGTACAGTTATTATAACGATCGGATTATCTGTAAATATAGTTATACTTACTAACGAGTTTATTTACTCTCCTGCCATCGTCACGATGGTTGAACACCTTGCTACCGGACTTCGAGCTCTGGGCGACGTTCACTTTGATAGCAATCATTATGTAGACGACGGTCATGATCATTAACGGGACTGCGAAGGTCACGATGCCCATCACGCCGTTGATAACCCTCGCCACTGGCGTGGGAACGATCGAGCAAAATAAGGAGTGGCTCGTTTTCACAATGTTCACCGACCAAATATCCGGGATTGTCACAACAACCGCCATTATCCAGATGCCGGTAATTATCTTTAAAACCCTCCGCCATACCGAAAGCGACTTCTGCCTCAGAGGATACCAGATCGCGACATAGCGTTCCACCGACAAAACTGTTATCGTCAGCACGCTGTTATTCCACAAGACTAATGTGAAAAAAATGTTCACCTTGCACGACCAATGTCCGTACTCGAAGGAGTCAAGGGCACCCAGGAATAAGGTCAAAGTTACAATCAGATCTGAAACGGCTAAATTAAACAAATAGTAGTTTGTCGCCGTGTGCATCTCTTTGTCCATATATATCACTGTGCATGTAAGCAAATTTCCTACTAAACTCATGAATAACGTGAAATATACCGATATCATAAATACTGGCGCAACCCACGGCGGCTCTTCTTCTCTGGCTCTTATCAGAAACTTCACCCAAGTTTGAATGTCAAACTCATTATGAGCTCCAGTAATATTTTGCATGGATTTGTTTTTAAATTCAATGTTAAAATATTCCCCTTTAATTTTTTCCACAACAATAAATATGTGCTCATTTCCCTCGGTCTACAACGGTAATGAGCTAATACCTACGAAATCGCACACTGTTTGCTTAATAACGTAAAAGGTTTGTGATAATCATGTTTACAGATTAAAGTGGTAGGATATATTACATGTACTCATTTGTTAGCGCTCTAAAACACATGACAAACATTCCAATAGGTTGAAATCAATTATTATTATTTTTGACTGTATTTCTAAAAAACAGTATGTAAGGAAGTATCCTACATGTAATAAAAACTATTAAGTCAAATCTTTACCTTAAAACTTAAACTGGAGATATGTTTTTTATGAAGTTCACCTTATATGTTTTTATGCTTCCCATTTTTTTTCTACAAGAAAATATGTTTACACTTTGTATTTTAAGAAGAATAACTTTGAAATTCATGATTTTTTTACTTACAGGAGAAGTGATGGCTTCTATATAAAATGCCAAAAATCTATCAGAATGTATGAAATATGTTACATTTATTTGAAATACAAACATTTTAATTATAATCTAATGGTAAATTATTACCAATTAATAATCCTTAAAATAAATAGCAACAAGGCGTCGTTCGTAAAAGCGATACCTGATGATTTATCTGCGATTGATCCTTGGCTTCATTGGTCACAGGGACCGTTTTGAAAGATCACATTTCTGCGGAAAAACTGAAAGTAAATCTTGCTATATTGCATAGACATTTTGGGCCTACATTGTTCGGGAGTCTTATTCCATTATTTTTGATTACATGATCAATTTGCGCGTTCGGATAAGAAGTCATGACCTGGCGAAGATGTGTATCTGCATTTGCTGTCACTTCTAAACAGCGCTCGTTTTTTTTTATGTGAAACGTTGCCAAGCCAGCAGGCGGTTCACTTGATGTTAAGTGAATACCGTCGCCCATGGACATCTGCTACACCCGAGGGTTCCGGATACATTGACAAACTTTTGAAAATTGGGTTCCGGCTATCACACTCACCAGACGAAACGCGAAAGTATTTTACTTAGTATTATAGTTACACTTCACGCAGGTCTTCGGTGAAGTCGTGGTACTTACCCGGACTAGCCTGCCAACATAATTGCTTCGTACAACAACAGAAGATATACAGAGAGTTCTCTGGAATCCGACACGAGGGTCATTAAGAAAAACTTTAAACTGCGGCCTCTGCACCGATTAAACTAATCGTAACGAGATCTACTCGGTGAAATTTATACGGATTGGTTGACACTCAGAGCCTATTTCACGGAGTATGCACTTGCACCCAACATGATGCTTGAGAGTTCATGATTTTCGAACATCTTGCTTAAACTTATATTACAAAAGAATAAAATTGTAAATTTCGCCCTGCAGTTAAGGAAATTTAATATTTTGTTTCTAAGAACAAATATTAAAATTCCTTTGCGAAACTGCCTGAAGGGCGTAAACGTATTCCTCAGTAAACGTTTATTTATTCTGGCCTTGAGAAAGTTCACAGTTATGTTCGAAATTAAATTAAGCTTCTGACTGATCATCTCATTCCTTAGCTTTATCATAAAATAAATTAAACAGTGTGGTTCAAGTGTATATTGAAAACAAAAGGCCCATAAAGTGTATTGTATTACGATGACCGAACAAGGAGGGAGGAATTAATTCGTATAGCTGCACACCTCTTAAAAAAGCATTATGTAGAAGACTGGGACACTAGCTACTTTGCGCCTGTTGAGGATCACAGCCTCTTCACGAACTATGCATCCCTTCCATTGATTTTAATGCTTGATATAAAGTTTTTTTTTATGTGAAAGTTACCAAGCGAGCAAACGGTTCACCTGATGTTAAGTGAATACCGCCGCCCATGGACACCTACTATACCCGAGGATCCCAGATGTGTTAACAACCTTTTGAAAATTGGGCTCCAGCCACCTCACTCACCAGACGAAACGCAAAAGTATTATACTTCCCCTTTACGCCGGTCTTGTGTGAGATCGTGGTACTTACCCGGACGAGCCAGGCAAATTGTTCAAAAATTCTGAGAAAACAATCAGTGTTCGGTTGCGGTTTCAAGGAGCTCACGTGCGTAAAATTGCAATAGAACGAACATATATAGATGTGAAGATTTGCGCGAAATGAGGTCATCGGCCGCTTAATTTAGTTGGCAAAGCGTCTGGGGGCGAAACCAAAAGACGCAGTTTCGAATCCCGCAGCGCCGAAAGTTTTTGTTCACTTATCAAAAAAATTTACAATTTATATTTTTGAAGTTATAATACTTCTTTGGGCGCATTTGGAAAAAAATGTCAGAGTAAAATTTTTACGACGCGAGCGCACACTGACCCCCGAAAAATCGACGAATGGTGAAGTTGTTTGCAAAGCAATATCAACTTTTTGATACTTACCTATAAATCAAGTTTATAACCGTCATCAATTGCATTTAATGTCTTTTTCACAAAAAAAGTGTACTAGTACAGGATACTGAAGTTGTTAATTAATAATAAATAAAAATTATGAATATATGTCTTACGTGTGTATTACACACACACTTTTTTTGAAAACAAAACTAAGCAATGTGTAACAATGTATCCGCCCGAAGACGCAGACGAAGTAGGTGTATTTACTAAGTGGTACACGACGGAGTTTTGCTGACTACTTGGGAAAGCGGCCGCTGTGAATTCTTAGGGACGCAAGTGGTACCGAGCGTCACCGCTATCCACTAGAGACGATCAACAATCGACTATCATCTTCAGAAACAAACAGTCAGCTGTTTACCGAACGTTGCGACGTGAATTCAAACCGACGCAGAGGGTGTCAAATAATAATTAAGTACATGCTTTGCTCGGTTTGTTATTTTTTTTTTTGGTAAATTGTGTATTTTGATAATTACATTTAGATAAAAATTACTAAGTAATATTTTCGATTGCTCGTTGAAAGGATAAGATTAACCCATTCACGCTTTTTTCAATTTAAAATTGAGTCATATATACATATTTATATAAACATATAAACATTACTAATCTACTGCTTAAAAATTATCTTATCCTTTAAACGAGCAATTCTTGTACATAAATATATTATATATTTATATGTAATCGGAATCTCGAAAACGGCTCCAGAGATTTTCATGAAATTTAGTATGTTGGTAGATTCGGGGGCGAATAATCAACCTCATCATTTTTAGAAAATGTGCTTTTGTCCCTGTTTTCGGGGAATGAAAAATATCATTTGAATATGACAGTAAATTTCGCCGCAAAAAATAATGTTATAATAGCTCGGTCGGTAATCGAGCGGCCATAAAACACACGGCCGCAGTTCGTATCACGATCATTTACTCACTTATTTTTCTTACTTTTTTTTTTCTATACCAGATCATTTTCTTTATTTTTTATTTTTTAATTTCCAAAATACATGATTTACCGGTAGCGAACAGAGAAACTGCTGAATCTTGAAAAAAAACGGGACCCTATTACTAATAATTATAAAAATAACTAATAATAGGGTCCCGTTTTACCATTTAGGTACGGGACCCTAAGAATGAACTTTATGTCACATACCTGTATTATTATAATCGAATTCGTTAACAAGGAAATCGTATTTTAAAATCCTTATACAAAACTTGCTTAATTTATAACCATCGGAATGACATATTCATATTACCGTCATTACACATCATGTTGTGCAATAAAACCGTCAGATTTTTATCACACAGGGAAACTCTTCAAACATCATTATCATATATACGATACGTTCGATATGTCATCGCTATCGCAAGGCATGTTAGTTTAGCTTTTCATTCCAACATTTTTAATAGTTTCACTATTATTTACTAACAGACTTTACTTACAAACGTAATTTTTTCTATGTCTGTTAGTAAATCAAACACAAAAGAAAATATAAAAAGACTAATGAAAAATACTTCTAATTTTTTAATCGGTCTTTAGAGTTACTACAAATCAATTTTCGTACATTAATTATAATCTTATCTAATCTACTCAGAATCGTCATCATTGTCTGAAAGAGTCTCTTAAATGTCCGCCTTACAGTTTGTAATTCTATTAAACTCATGAGAGCTTTCATAGATAAAGCACAGACATTTTAGTAGACCCTTCTTCTTTTCTGTTAAAATGGGAATCTTGAGCGATAGGCTTTTGCTACTCGTATATATATATTGTAAACTTTCCACGACTTGAAGACTTAAGAATTAGTTAAGAAAAATAGTTAATTTACAATTATCTATTTTACGGATTTTATAACTTTTAAATTCCCTTAACAAGATGTTAGACGTTCTTAAAATTCATGAGTCGACTTAGCTAACAATTATTGGGCGTAATGAAACATTGAGTTTGTGAATTTTAGGTAATCCATAAAATTTTGGGGATTTTACATATAAGGGTCAATAAACGCATGGTCGCTGTCAGCCTCCATGTGATGTCCGGGTACGAGAAACTAGTATTCGATGCTTTGTAACTGACGAGAGTGTTTCACAGCTAGACTCAACGATGTAATTTGAGTTTTTCTTCTAACTGGGCAGATTTAGAGTAGAATTATGGTCAAATTTGGCATTTGCGTTTATGTTTATGATATAATCAACATGATACTATCCTTGCCATATGTAACAAAAAAGCCTTATTTTGTTTTCGATCATGTATGGTCAAATTATATGTTCACAGCTGCCTTTTGTAAAATGCAAAATTCGTTTGCAAGTAAGGGTCACGACCATTACATCATCGCTAGACTGGGCTAACTGTTTATTGTCTCGTTTTTCTTCATAGGCGGCCTTAGAAGCCTTGTCATGCTCTT